TTTTTTCAAAACATTTTCCTGGAGTCTGATCACTGCAGCGAGCTGTTAAATATCATAAAAACTCGTAAAAATATTGTGACTGAAACAAAGCTGCCAACATATTTATTTACTTCCTGCTCCTCAGTGAAGCTGCAGCCATGTTTGTGTTTCAGATCGAGTCCTTGGTGCCTCTGGGACGGATGGGCGAGCCGGCGGGTCAGTTTCACATCACTGATGCTTTTCACTGTCACTCTTCATCCAGGACATCAGATTCATACATGTGTCGTTCTGCTCCGGCCACGCCGACACCAGCTGCGTTTAAATGAACCTAAAGCTGTTGGATGAGTGTGATTTATCCAAACATATATGTGGAACATGAGAACATCAGTGTTTCTGCATTTTAGAGTCATCAGCCACTTTAACGAGTGTTAAAATAGGACTGTGTTAGAAAACAGGAGTCACACTGAAACTGTGTCACACACGGTGAAACAATCGTTCAAAATACAGACAAAATGCACTTTTTTGCGTTTTTCTCAGAGAATCACGAGAAACAGATCAAACATCTGTTTCTGTTACACTGATTTATTAGGATGATGTTGACACTGTGACACTCACAGCGGGGAAACAATGATTGACGAGTTGAAGTTTTTCAAACAAATGTGTTTTTCAATTCTGAAAAAAAAGTTTAGAGGGCTCAAAAATGCTGAAACAAATAATGCATATTGAAAAAATGCATAATTTCAGCCCAGCCAGTGCTCTCTGACAGCTGTAACTCAGAGAACGTTGGTAGCATGAAGGTGAACGTTTGCATGGCCTCATAAAACAAACTAAAGTTAATTCATTAAAAAGATCAGCTGATCGGCTCTTTGTGTCCTCCAGAGGTCGCTGATGTCTGCGCCTTCCTCGCCTCGGACGACTCTCGGTACATCACCGGAGCCAGCATCGAAGTGGCAGGTGCAGTTTCTCTATAAACTTTTCATTTCACATGACAAATGTTTTCAGTTTAACGAGAATACCAACACATCAGGACTCGTCTTTCTTTGTCAGGCGGACTTTTCATGGGTTAAATCAGCCGTCCGGCGAGCGCGCGACTGAAGACCGTGAGACTAGTTTCTACGTAATTATTATTT